AATCACAATGAGTGAACAGGAAACTTTGGCCAGGGGCACCACTGATAGACTCAGAGCGTCAGCTGCCACACTCAGCCTATCATTAGCTCCCTATTAGCACAACCGACTGGGAAAAATACATATGTTTCTCACTCCACTGTGTGAATAGGCAGCTAATTAGATTCTCTCAGCCTATCAGCAACATCACTAATTGAAGTCTTGGACTGCAATGGAAGTTGGGGGGGGGCAGAGGTAACAGGCGCTGGACTGAAGACTTTAGGTTAAACCGTTTGTTAACAATTTAACCCCAGAAGATAAACCAATGCTAGTAACCTCCTGGCAACATGACAGCTTTATTTTGATTATGTTTTTATGTTGCACTCAGTATTCCCTTAAGATTTTTTAACTGGATTTTTTTAACTGGATATTGAATAATGACCGTGGTGGAAATGGTAGGTTAATGTAAGATGGGGGGGGGAGTTGTGATTTCTCGTCTCTGCATTCTCTGCTGCTGCTTTAATCAGAGATTCAGTGATCAGAAGTCCAGAAAATCTATAGCCACAAATTCCTTCTTCAGCAAAATCTAGCATCAGCCACTGGAACTTTGTTTAATGTTTAGTTTTAATTAAACAAAATTGAATGTCAATTTGAGTTACGAGCCAGGAAGGCATGTGTTGATGGTGCTCTGCTATTTCATTTAATTTCAGATAAGGAATTGAAACGTGTTGAGAAGCCAGTATATAATTATTCCGCAACACATTCTGTAAACTTTTCATTCATACTTCTTAATCCACGATAACACTTGAAGATGAATCTGTACTATTCAAACACATCACGCATTCCGCCCAGGTATTCCGAACATGCTGTTTGTCAGAGATTGTTAATCAATTTGAGCGACACGTGGAATAATTGATTAGTCTTTTTAACTTAGAACTCATAAACATTTCATAAACAATACAGACAATAAAATTGCAGCAGAAATGGGAATTTTTATAGTCGTTGGCTGAAAATGACCAAGCATAACTCAACTCAAGTGTATTTCAAGCACAACTGCATGCCTCTCCATTTTATTTCATGTTCGCTGTGTAAACATTAAACATATTTATCAACCTCAAATTAGCTTAAATGAAATCTTTTTATAGCACAATATCCAGGGAATTTTCTGTGTAAGAACAAATCAGTTTTGTTTTATGGCTTACAGTCTGCAACAGCTTTGATATCGTAGTTATTGCTCCTTCAGTAACAAAATTGTCCAAAGGAAGATGTGTTCTAGAGATTTTGAATAAGGGATGAAAAATGCATAATCACTTTGGTGATATGTCACCCTTTAATCTTTAGGGGCATAAAACAAATTACTTTCCACAATCGCTTCTGCTGTAGAGAGATTGTGAATACAGACTGTCGTGTAACTAGGCAATTTTATTGCAGAAGTGATGCCGTGAAAGTAATTGTTGTTTTACATCAATATATTAAGATCTTTGATCCTATTTTTTGAAGTATGTCTAGGATTTGGTCATATGTCCCCTGATGTTCTTGTGATAGGCAATAAATGGTGAATTGAGAAAAGAAACAAACATTAGTATGGTGTAGTGGTTATAGTGTCTGACACCTTTATTGTAAAATGTCAAATTGTTTTAGAATGGTTTGACAAATTACATGGGGTCCACTGGGTGACATTCCCTGCCTCTACTACCTCAGGCCTGCTTAGTAGCTTTTATAAGCCCTCCTGATCTAAGCTCTACAATGTTGGGCTAGCTCATTGACTGAGAGTTTCACCTGACACTGCAAAGGCAGATTTAGCATAGACTTATACAGGGCCGTCTTTAATAACGAATGGACCCTGGGCAAGTGTTTGCTTGGGCCCCCTGTGCCCTGCCGCTCTCGCCCCTCACTCCCTGGTATGCAATTACGGCATCCATCCCAACGCAGTGGCGGTACTAAAGTAGAATGAATTTTATTGGGACCCCCAATTGCAAGGTTGGACTAAAGGTAGAACCCCATCTGTCATGCAACTCCAACAATGCTTTGACAGCTGGGACTCTACCAATTTCCCATGCTTGCAGGGTTGTATTTAGCACTGAGCCATGTTAGTATGTTTGAATATAAGCATGTGTTTGTATGGAGTATGTTTGTGTGAATGTGTTTGTATGTGGTACTGGAGTTTGAATGCAAGTGTGCATTTATGTGTAGTGTTTGTTTTTGAATGTAGGAGTGTGCTTGTATGTAGTGTTGACATTTCAATGCAGGGGTGTGTTTTATATGTAGTGTTGAAGTTTGAATGGAGGGGTGTATTTGTATTTAAAGTTGCGGCTCAGATGCACAGGTACACACTCTGACGCACAAGCAGATACACAGATACATACACTGACTACATACAGATAAACTGGCACATACACTGACAGACACACTGACACGGGTACATATATTGACACACACACAGACACATACACTGGTAGACGTACTGACAGACATACTGACACAGGCACATATACAGACATACTGACACACAGACACATATACCGACATACTGACAAACACACACAGACACATACACTGATCAACATACTGACACACATACACTGACAGAAATACTGACACCCACATACACTGAGAAATACTGACACACACACACAGGCACATACACTGGCACACACAGACAGATATACTGACACACACACACACAGACATACTGGCACACAGACAGATATACTGACACATGCAG